AGATGGGGTTTCTCCATGATGGCCAGGCTGGTCTTGAACTCCTGACCTCAGGTGATCCACCCACCTCAGCCTCCCAAAGTGCTAGGATTATAGGCATGAGCCACCGTGCCCGGCAAAGATATCTTGATATAAGTATTAATCCTTTAACTGTAATGTATGTTGAAAATATTTTTCAGTTTATAATTTATTTTTCAATTTTGTTTATGATGCTTTTTGCCATCTAGGATTTTAAAGTCTATGTAATCAAATTAGTTCACCTTTTTCTTAATGGTTCTAAGCTTTATCATTATGTTAGAAAAATCTTGCCTCCCACAAGGTTATATAAATAATCATTTATATTTACTCTCAGTCATTCTTAGTTTCATTTTTTATATCAAGCTCTTGAATCCATCTGGAATTTACTTTGGTGTATGGCATAACATAGCTACCTGACACCTCTCCTCCCCACAATATTAGTGGCTAAACATTTGTCCCAACACCAATTTTTTAGAAACCTCCGTTTTCCTAATGATTTGAAATACCTGAGGCTCTTCTGACTGGGTATGTGCTGAGTCCTATTGGATATGTGTCCATATTGGCCTATAGGAAGCAATCACTAAGAATCTTCATTGTCTGTGCAGGAAAAACTTCTGAAGCAAAAGGATTTCCAGTACCTAAGGAAATCTAGAAAAGAGCAATGCATCAACCAATAACTATTCTTTCTTATTTCATTACAGAAAAGAGGTGAAGAGTCCAGTGAAATGGAGCAAATTTCAATAATTGAAAGGTTCCCTTATCCCTTCCAGGTGAGTTATTTTCTCTCACCAACTCTTGAAAGGCCCCTATAATACAATCAGAAGGGGTGGTGTGGTACAGGGCAGAGGGAAGTCTATGAGGACCCAGTGAATAGAACTTGAGGTGGACAAGGATGCTGAACCAAGAAATGAGACTGGCATGGGCTGAGAATGTTTGCTTTTCTATTTACGCCATCTAATATAGTTTCTATTAGTCTCTATACCTCAAAAAGAATACAAAGCAGCATCAATTGTATTATAGTGTGTCTTGTCTATGATAACTGCATTGAGAAAGATGCCCTGCTTGTTGAGTGAGCAATTCACTTCCTTCTGGTTCTGACTATCTGTCTAATGGTGGTCATGTGGGTTGAAAAGACAGAAAAAGGGAGTAGTATTAGGAAGTTCAGTATGAGGAAGACTTATTAGACTTATGCATAAACCTAAACCTAAATTCTGTTGTAGTGTGGAATCACATGTGCATCTGTTTGGTAGACGTAGTGTAATAAAAGAGAGCAAGAACTACAAATTTGATCTTCAGTTTGGCTTGCTGACATCCTGAGAACTCTGTAGGCCACATGTCATGAATATAGCAGCCTCTGCAACAGTGAAAGCCAGAAAAGGAAGTGGAAAGTCTCAGGGGAGGGGGCTTTCTGTCATGGATTTATGAGCACAGCAAGACTAACAAGCAAAAAGAAAAATGTAAAAGGATCTTGTTCATGTCCCTGATTATATCAAAGTTACAAAACCTTTCAAAGAAGGGTATTTCAGACACAGTTTTTACTACCAATGCCTTTCAACTAGATGACATTCTTTGGCTGCACTAGTGAATAATGCTGAACAGCAGATAATTTTAAATTAATTTATATTTTACTTTAGAATTTATTATATGATGTCTATAAACTCTGGGAGGGTTGGTACCACATCTTATGTATTTCATGCATCTTTGTAACACCTAGCATGATGCCTTGTACATGGTATATGGTCAAAAAAGTACTATTTGACTTATGATATTGCTTACCAAATACCTTACCCTTTTTGAAGTCTGTTTGTAGTTCCAAATTTGATTTATTTTTGCTTATATTGGTGAAGGGAGGCCACTAGGTAGTGGAGATGGTGGTACTTAGCCATGAATTAAAATTTTATTCCATATTATTCAAGTGAATAACCCAAACGTACTAATCAAGAGTTAATTTATATAGATTATCACTTCAACTCTCTTCTATACAAAGTCGAAGTTTACTAATAAGATAAAATACCCCTTGTTGGATAAACAAAAATCTTATCTCCAGCAAGGGCAGATGAAAACGTTATAAAGCAAGTTTATGCACAAATTGAAACACAAGTCAGGATGACCTAAGGGTATGAAAAATTCTAAGGCTTTGAAATGCTACATCTCTGGACATGAAGAGTTCAGGAATCCTTCAGTTAGTTCACATAACCCGAACACCATTGCTGACTCAAGATTCTGCCTTTCTTTGTTTTCTACAATGAAGATACAAAGTTGTCCCCTAAGATTAGCGCCTTCAAGGTCTTTCTCCTTTTTTCTGAATCCTAATTGCTCAAGTCTGTGTGTTCATTGACCCAGGTGGTATATGATGAAGGGCCTCTCTACGTCTTCTCCCCAACTGAAGAACTAAGGAAGCGGTGGATTCACCAGCTCAAAAATGGTAAGAATTGGAAAATAAATGTTTCCAAAGAAAGAAAAAAAGGAAGAAAAGCTAGATGGGAGGAAAAGGAAAAAAGGAAGAGAGAAATGAGAAAGGAGAAATGTAGAAAGAAAAGAAAAAATGGATATAAGGGGAGAAAAGGAAGAGAGAGGGAGGGGAGGAGGGAGACAGGAAGGAAGGAAGCAAGGAACAAAGGAAGGGAATGAGGGAGGAAGGAAAGACAAATAGAAAAGAAAGAAACAGGAAGGAAGTGTGTATTTTGTTTTAATATTAGTAATACAAATGAACTTAGTAATCCATCATATGAATAAAAGATAATATGTTAGACTAAGAGTTTCGACTCAGTTCTACTACTGTCTCTCTAGTGCAATTTTGTAATTATAGGCACCTCTATTTCTCTATTTATTAAAAAAAAAAGTCCAATTTTTTACACTGAATACAAGGGTGGTGTGGCATTCAGTGGCTATGCAATATTTAGAATCCTAAGTATAAAATACCTAGCTCCAAAAAATAAATAGATGATGTATGACAGTGCTTGAAGTCAGATTCAGAGAACCTTGTTTCAACCCCTCTTCTACCACTTACAAACTGGGTGATTTCTGGCAAGAAGGCCAACAAGCTTCTTTGATGCTCAGTTTCTTCTCAAAGGGGAGTAACGGTAATGAGTGCCATACCTACCTCTGGGGTTGTTGTAAGGATCAAATGAAGTAATAATACATGTAAAAGCACATGGAAAACTGTAAATCACTATACGTGAAAGCGCTGTACATGTCTTTGTTGTGGATAAGTATTTCCCAAGGAAATATTTTGTATTCCTTGCTTTGTAAGGACCTGAACTTGAACAAAGTTTCAGCATTTCACATCAACCATATAGTGTGTTCAGATAAACTTGACTGCAAATGCTTACAGCACAGGATGCATGCACACATATTTGCGTGTATATATAGCCACATGTCAAGTGTCTGAGAGATTAACTGGTTGAGTTGACATCAGGAAAGGCTGCCTAGAGAAACAGGAAGGATGGCAGACTGATAATGGCATGGTTGGGTTATTGCATGACAGCCCTTTGTGTTAATAAACATTTAGATTCTGATACTCACTGGCTAGCTATACCAGCCTTGTACACTCCCTTGAGTGCATGTTTGATTGGTCAAAATTATATTAGCAAAGTCTTTCAAACTGAAAGGGAACAGGAGGAAGGAGGAGACAGATCACCTATTGAATTATTGCTATGTGCCAGACATTGAGCTAAATACCTTATATATATTATCTCATTTAATTTTCACAACAACCTTGGGCTAAAACAACAAAAATAACTAACACTTAATGAGCACTTACTATGTAGCATGCTCTGTGCCAAGTGCTTCAAATGTATTACTCATTTGATCCTTGCAATAACCTTAAGAAGTATGTATTATTCCCCTGTTCCCAGATGAGGAAACTGAGGCTCAAAAAGGTTATGTAACTTTCTCATGGGCACACAGCTAGTGAGTGGTGGAGCCTGGTTTCTTATCACATCCCTGTGTCTGTATGATTCCAAAGCCCAAGCTCATTACATAGTTTTGTGCTGCTTGGTTTCCAAGTCCAGAAATTTCACATATCGTTGGTTGCAAAATGTTCTATAGTAAAGCTATGTTGAATATTACAAATAGATGATATCCTGCACCACACAGTTCAGTTCTTGGCATATTTTAAGATAAGGGGTCTGCTTTAGCCCTGGGGCTACAAAATGAGAAAACTCTTTAATACTGCTTATTGTGATACAGGCTCTTCTCTAAGTTCTTTACATATACTAACTTTCTAGTAACCATATGTGGCAGTTATCTTATCATCCTCATTTTACAGATAAGAAAGCTGAGGTACAGAGAGGTTAAGTAACTTGCCCAAAGGCACTCAGTTAGTAAATGGCAGTCAGGCTCCAGACTCCATGTCCTGAACCAATATACTATTTCCAGCCAGAGAAATATTCGCAGACTGAGATAGGAAGTCTGCAGGACATATATATTTGTAGCTCGTTAGTTCTCTCCACAATGCCTCATACAGTGCCTTGCACACAGAAAGAGATCAATAGTTGTATTAACTGATTTATCCGTGGGAGGTAAACAACCACCACCAACTTGGGCTCCACATTGATAAATGACTTGATTTTAGTCTGGAAATGGGGAAATGTGAGGCAGACTAGTTGAAGGAGAAATAAGGGATAAAGTGGCATGCTCAAGTTGGTAACTTCTTTACATTTCATATACTAATTTTTTTCTGTTTTTCTTTCTTTCTTTCTTTCTTTTTTTTTTTTTTTTTTTTTTTTTTTTTTTTTTTTTTTTTTTTTTTTTTTTTTTTTTTTTTTTTTTTTTTTTTTTTTTTTTTTTTTTTTGAGACAGTCTCACTCTGTTGCCAGGCTGGAGTGCAGTGGCATGATCTTAGTAGCTCACTGCAACCTCCGCCTCCCAGGTTCAAGTGATTCTCCTGCCTCAGGCTCCCAAGTATCTGGGACTACAGGCATGCGCCACCACGTCTGGCTTATTTCTGTATTTTTAGTAGACACAGGGTTTCTCCATGTTGGCCAGGATTGTCTCCTTCTCTTGACCTCATGATCCACATGCCTCAGCCTCCTAAAGTGCAGGGATTACAGGCATGAGCCACCGCGCCCAGTTTCACATACTAATTTCAAAACCAGTCATAGTTTAGTCCAACAAATATTTATTTATTTATTTATTTTGAGATGAAGTCTTGCCCTGTCACCCAGACTGTAGTGCAGTGGCACAATCTGGGCTCACTGCAACCTCCACCTCCCAGGTTCAAGTAATTCTCCTCTCTCGGTCTCCCGAGTAGCTGGGACTACAGGCATGCACCACCATGCCTGGCTAATTTTTGTATCATTATACAGACAGGGTGTCATCATGTTGGCCAGACTGGTCTTGAACTCCTGACCTCAGGTGATCCACCCACCTGGGCCTCCCAAAGTCCTGGGATTACAGGTGTGAGCCCAGCCCAGCTTAGTTTCTTAACTCAGATGTTAACCTTATAATCTTGATTGTGTGCTGCTATTAAAGTTCATTAACTAAGTAAAATTACAACAGGCTAAAAATAAAGCCAAAACAAATAAACAAACACCACTAGTTCAGCTGGGTCATCAGTATGAGCAGGGAGTGTGGCTAGGCACATCTTTGCCTTCTCCTCCCTTATGTTTCATCGAAGGCATTTTTTTTTCCAATTGTTCCTCTTGGGTTTATGTCTTGTTGAACCTTCCTGGGCTAACAACAGGAGCCAAAAGTAGGTGACTTCTGACAAATATCATAATTGCTGGGAGATTTAGGTGCAAGTCCTAACAATCCCGGGACAATCCCAGGTGCTGGCAATGTCAATAGTGAGTTACCCTAGGAGCCACAAAATAGTGATGTTATTCCTCTCTTTTGCTTTTTTCCTTGTTTGTTTAATTTTATGTTTTTATTATCCCACTCTTGGGTAAAATGCACCAATAAGAAACCATTGACATGAAAAGGGGGCCTCATGAGAATATTGGTTACCTTTGCAGGGGTATTGACTGAAGGGGCATGAGGTGCTGGATCTGAAGGAGGTTAAATGGGTGTGGAAAAATATGGTTTGCTGTACATATTAGATCTGTGCACTTTATTATATGTAAATTATACCTAAATTTTATTTATTTATTTAGAGACAGAGAGTCTTGCTCTATCGCCCATGCTGGAGTGCAGTGTACAATCTCGACTCACTGTGAACTCCGCCTCCTGGGCTCAAGTGATTCTCCTGCCTCAGCCTCCCGATAGTTGGGATTACAGGCAAGCACACCATGCCCGGCTAATTTTTGTATTTTTGGAAGAGACGAGATTTCACCTTGTTAGCCAGGTTGGTCTCAAACTCCCAAAGTCAAGTGATCCGCCCGCCCCAGGCTCCCAAAGTGCTAGGATTACAGGTGTAAGCCATTGCATCTGGCTTATACCACAATTTTAAAAGCACAGCCTCAGATACCTCATATCAAGCTGCTGCATTTTCTTAATGGTGCTTGCCATGCAAAGGTTGTATTCCTGAGGACTTAGCCACAGACTTGCTCTTTCTATTTCCTTCAATATGGCAGTGGGCCCTTCTATGTTCCAGCAGCACAAATATTTGCCTACACTTATTGAATCTTTGTTTGGTCGAGCTCAATATAACCTATCCTAATTGCAAATTAAATAGTAAGCAAATGACCTGACCTTACCAAAATGAATGAAAGAATGGCATTGGTAAAGCTCCAACAAAGAGTATGGAAAGGAATGATTCATGTATGTCTATATATATATATATATATATATATATNACAACAAAAAACAAAGCAGGGCTGACATATGGTTCCAACTCTGGTCAAGCAGAGAATAAATACATTTTAATCCCAAATAGTAGGGATGTGATTTCAGACTAAAGGATAGTTCTAAAGATGGGGTTTCACCATGTTGGTCAGGCTGGTCTTGAACTCCCAACCTCAGGTGATCCGCCCGCCTTGGCCTCCAAAGTGCTTGGATTACAGGCATGAGCCACCACGCCCGGCCATAAAACTATATTTTAAACATTAACCTGATAAATAAGGATAGAAGAGACCAGCCCATCAAGCACTTGGAGAATGTGTACTAACCATTAGTGCTTCCCAACAGGGCTGGCCATGTGCATTGGTGAAGCAAGCAGTCTCCCCTAGCCCTCCCACTTGGACACCTTGCTGTTGCAATCCTCTCCTAAGTAGCTGGAAATACCAGCTTTGGATTAGCCAACAAAAGAAGAGGTGTCATCTTCAAGGGGCCTTTAGAGCCAGACATTATTTGAGAATGTAGGGAGTCTTCTTAATGAGTGTGATAGGGGTGGGGAAGGCAAGAAGCCTTATTCCTCCTCATTATCGTATTACCATAGCTTAGTTTATTAGAGTGGCTAGTTGTTGATTAGGTATTCTTTGGTGTGTCTACTGGTGCTGAGCCCTACAGAAGACAGAGAGAACCTGAGGGTTTTCAAATCCCTAGGTGATAGGGAGTGGTGTGGGGGGAGGGGCCAGAGGGTGGAAGTGGTAGGAGTAATCAATCCTGGCAGGGAGGATTATCAGTGACATTGTTCACAATTACCAGTGCTTAGTAATAACAACAGGCAGACAGACTTTGGGTCAGGTTTTATTATTGTTTTAAAATTCCCTATAGGCAATGCAGCCCCTTATAGCCTGCACTCCATCTGAACAGCTCCCACCATTCTGTCCTTGGTACATTGGTGAACAGCAGTGCTGAAAAAGTCAGAGTGAGGGTGGGCAGGGGAGAATGGTTTGAAGTTTTCAAATCTATGAGGAGAAAAGCATCAAGATGGGCTGGGCACAGTGGCTCACGCCTGTAATCCCAGCACTTTGGGAGGCCAAGGCGGGCGGATCACCTGAGGTCGGGAGTTCAAGACCAGCCTGACCAACATGGAGAAACCCTGCCCCTACTAAAAATACAAAATTAGCTGGGTGTGGTGGCGTATGCCTGCAATCTCAGTTACTTGGGAGGCTGTGACAGGAGAATTGCCTGAAGCCAGGAGGCGGGGGTCGCAGTGAGCCGAGATGGTCCCACTGCACTCCAGCCTAGGCAACAAGAGCGAGACTCTCTCAAAAAAACAAAAGCATCAAGAAGACTCTTAAAAAAAGAGGTAGGTGATGGGGAGGAAGGCAGCAAATCACTCTGCCACGTGTGTACCTATGCAACAATCTTGCATGTTCTTCACATGTACCCCAAAACCTAAAATGCAATAAAATAAATAAATGGGGGAAAAAAAAAGATAGAAGTTTTGTTCATTTGCCTGTAAAATGCACCTAGCTACTAGTAGCTTTTAGGCTTCCTTGCAAAGCCTTGAGTGAAGAGTGACTACTAAGCCCTTAAGGATTGTTGTTTTCTTTCTTTTTTTTTTTTGAGACGGAGTTTCACTCTTGTTGCCCAGGCTGGAGCACAATGGCACTATCTCAGCTCAATGCAACCTCAACCTCCCAGGTTCAAGCAATTCTTCTGTTTCAGCCTCCCATGTAACTGGGATTACAGGCTCATGCCACCACAACCGGCTAATCTTTGCATTTTTAGTAGAGACAGGGTCTCATCATATTGGACAGGCTGGTCTCAAACTCCTGACCTCAGGTGATCCGCCCACCTTGGCCTCTCAAAGCACTGGGATTACAGGCGTGAGCCACCGTACCTGGCCATTTTTGAGTTGTTTTCTACAGTGGAAGGTTTTGGTTTGTTTTTGTCTTTTTTAAAAAAGGTGATGCCAGTTATTTCAATTGTCTTTGCTTCTCTCAGTTATCTGACATCATGAACACTGATAAGTTTTCTAATTGGTTTCATGTTAAGGTTCTTGATATGCCATAGTATTATAAACAGCAATACTAATTCCTCCTCTCTGCATCCACTTTATTCTTTGCAAAATACTTTTGTTCTGGGACATCTTTTGGGCCTCTCAACTCTGTGAGGGAAAGGGAGCTGCTGTGTTATCACTGGCAATGAGCTCAGTCCTCCTCAGTGGCCCTAGGAAGATTCAAATCATGTTGATTCTAGAGGCAAAGTGACCTTCATTTGCCCTTGAGATCAGCTCTGTTGACTGTTCTATACAGAAAGCCTCATCCAGAAGTTCTCAGTAAGGTTGATTATCCCTAAAAGATCATTTGAGGAACTGAGAAATTGGTATTAAAAGCTGGGGAGTTTGGCTTGGGCACATTGTTTCCCTTATCTGGAAAACAAACACCATGATGAACACCTGCCTTACAGGAAGATTGTAATGGCTACTGGGAAAACATAGATAACATATTTCTGTTATTGGGCTCTCAAGCCATCAGATATTCTTATCTCACTGATTGGGAGATACTCCTCATAACAGATCACTGAAGAAAACTGCACAGGAAGTGTCCGGGGCCAGGCCACAGTCAGGCAGGCCAGTCATGTGAACCAACAGGTCCTGTGATCTGCCCTCCTTCAGGGTGGCCAAGGAGGGGGCAGTTATTTGAAGTTCACCACTAAGCTCAAAGAGGAAAACATGCAAATGGTGGCTTCTCTTCCATGTCAGACGTGATCTCTCTCTTCTCTCCTGCTGCAGTAATCCGGTACAACAGTGATCTTGTTCAGAAATACCACCCTTGCTTCTGGATCGATGGACAGTATCTCTGCTGCTCTCAGACAGCCAAAAATGCTATGGGCTGCCAAATTTTGGAGAACAGGAATGGAAGTAAGAGATCTGATCAATTTCTTCCTCCTTTGACTGTTTCCATTACTTTCCCAAGGGTCTATCAAGCCCAGGGACATAGCATAAGGTTGTACATTTTGGGTTCTAAACAAAGGGTCCAGGGTGGGCAGGGGGCACGTGGGGGCTGAAATCCAGCTAGTAATCTGCTCCTCCAGCTATGTGACCTGGCATGCATAGCTACTTTTTCTAACTTCCCTAAAGGCATTCAATATGGACAGCAAAGTCCCTGACCAAACCAGTCCGTGGGCCCTTTCCTAAAGTGCATTTCATATCATCATTGGCTTCTTGTTTTGCAGGCTTAAAACCTGGGAGTTCTCACCGGAAGACAAAAAAGCCTCTTCCCCCCACACCTGAGGAGGACCAGGTATACAGGGAAACTGGGTGCTACCACTGCTAAAATGGAAATTTACAGTCAAACCCTGAGAACACACCAGAGTCTTAGAATTACCCTGGGACTTGGCAGTATTAATTGGCATTCTTGCTAAGATGGGGTATTTTTTCTTCTAATTAGGATTTCCTCCTCAATGAAGGAAACATGGAAACCATGTAATCCAATCACCTGTTTAGAACAAAGCCTAATTTTTTAATGGAAAGTATTTTCTTTCATTTTTTTTTTTTTAAGACTGGGTTTCACCATGTTGGTCAGGCTGGTCTTGAACTCCCGACCTCAGGTGATCCGCCTGCCTTGGCCTACAAAGTGCTTGGATTACAGGCGTGAGCCACCATGCCCAGCCGGAAAGTATTTTTAAACATACAGTAAAGTCAGAAGAATTTAACACTGAATACCAATACACTCAACACTTAGCACTAACACTACCTAACACTACCATTTTAAAACTTGATTTTTTGGCTCCTTCTTAAGGTCTAGAAAGCCCTTTCTCACATATTGCAAATAAATAGAGCAGGTATTATTATGTTCATTTTACAAAGAAGGAAACCATGTTTCTGAGGTACTTAGTAGATTCATATACAAGTTTGGTGCCAAGCCGGTTTCCTGACCTTAGCTATAAATGTTTTTTTGTGTGGTGAGCTTTAAAAGTACTAATGTTGGCCATGTGCTGTGGCTCACACCTATAATCCCAGCACTTTGGGAGGCCGAAGAGGGTTGATCACGAGGTCAGGAGATCGAGACCATCCTGGTCAACATGGTGAAACCCCGTCTCTACTAAAATTACAAAAATTAGCTGGGCATGGTGGCATGCACCTGTAGTCCCAGCTACTCGGGAGGCTGAGGCAGGAGAATTGCTTGAACCCAGGAGGTGGAGGTTGCCGTGAGCCTAGATCGCACCATTGCACCCCAGCCTGAAGGGATTCTCCTGCCTCAGCCTCCTGAGTAGCTGATACTACAGGCACGCACCACCATGCCCGGCTAATTTTTGTATTTTTAGTAGAGATGGGCTTTCCTTATGTTGACCAGGCTAGTCTTGAACTTCTGGCCTCAAGTGATCCACCGCCTTGGCCTCCCAAAGTACATTGGATTTGTTAAACGCTCCATAGATGGTCTTTATAGGCATGCAAGGTTGAGAACTTCTGCACTGGTGCTTCAAAATGATTGTTGAATGACTGCTAAGTAACATTTTATTATGCCTGATTTCGGTGTCTTGAGTAAGCCAGAGAGTTAAGAGATAAGAGGAGAGTGCTTGCTGTCTAGACAAAGCCTCCTACCTTTTCTCCTAACTACACAGATCTTGAAAAAGCCACTACCGCCTGAGCCAGCAGCAGCACCAGTCTCCACAAGTGAGCTGAAAAAGGTTGTGGCCCTTTATGATTACATGCCAATGAATGCAAATGACCTACAGCTGCGGAAGGGTGATGAATATTTTATCTTGGAGGAAAGCAACTTACCGTGGTGGCGTGCGCGAGATAAAAATGGGTGAGTCCACACCAGCCCTTCCTGAGCCCAGTGCCTGCCCACTCCATACACGTGCAAAGTGCTGCAGCATAATTCCCTTGATCAGTATCCTCATCAGAGACTGTTCTTCCCACACCAAACTGAACATGCTCTCCAAGTACTTCCCAGTGTGCAACTCTCTACACATGGCCTCTGCCACCTCTCTGAACCTCTGTTGTGCACATGTAACCAATGCCAAACGTGCAGAAGCTCCGCACCTCACTGGCCAAACCATGCATCAGAGATGTGGTCATCACTGAGGGAAGTGCATGATACAGTATACCTCCATTTGAGATCGATTCTGAGCTCAGGGATTTGGACGTATGAATCTGTCTCCTGGAGGATGGGGAGGTGCTGGATGATCTGCCACATTGTCTCCTTCACAGGCAGGAAGGCTACATCCCTAGTAACTATGTCACTGAAGCAGAAGACTCCATAGAAATGTATGAGTAAGTATGTTTATGTCAGTGCACAATCTTCCCTCTCTCTATATATAATATACAGACACAAGTATATATATATATATACACACACATATGTATACATACACTGGTGTATATATATGTATACATAATGTATACATACACAAATGTATATATATACACTTTTTTATACTTTCAACATATTTTTTATTTCAAGATATATATAAAAATGAGTGTCATCTGAATCAAATGATGCCACCACCTCAAATTAGTGTGTCTGTCTTACCGTTACCCCCCAAACACCTTCCACTTATGAAAGCTGGAGAGGTTACCATGCCCTCAAATCTGGAAGGATCACACTCAAAGAAAAAGGAGTTGAGGACCTAATGGGAAACATTGAAAGAATTAAAATGTCGGCCGGGCATGGTGGTTCACACCTGTAATCCCAGCATTTTGGGAGGCTGAGGTGGGCGATCACAAGGTCAGGAGATCAAGACCATCCTGGCCAACATGGTGAAACCCCATCTCTATTAAAAAAAAAAAAAAAGAAAGACAGAATTAAAATGTCAAACTGCTACTATCGTTCTCTCCTCCCTAATCATGGAAGTGGATTGTTCTCAAGTGCCCCAGTCCCTGATCTCTTCCCTGCAACTCCCTGCTGTCTGCCTTTGCCCACTACTCTCCATTTCCATGAATCGTCAATGCCAGCCTGGGTTTGGGAAAGGAATACAGTGTGCTATGCACATGACAAATACTCAGTAAATAGGGTTTGAGTGAATTGGTTGAATCACTGGCATGGAAAAGCCCCGGAGGGTGCTCTAACCTCCAATCTGCTTATGATCTGGCCCAGGAGCCACTCAAGCAGCACACTTCCTTCACAGGTGGTATTCCAAACACATGACTCGGAGTCAGGCTGAGCAACTGCTGAAGCAAGAGGTAAGTGTGGAACCACTAGCACACAGCATTCTCCTTGCATAATAAGTGAGGATCTTGAACTGAGGGCCTGTTCTGCCCACCACCTTTGGGCAAGGCAGTGTCAAAGCTGCCATCATCTGGGGTCCCAATTACTTTTTTTTTTTT